GATGAAAAAAAAAAAACTGATTTCCACATCAGATCGATATTTTAATCAAAATAAAAAAATGTGTAGCATCGTTATGTGAATCAGTCACTATATCAGTTGGATATCAACATGGCATATTTTTCTAACTAATATTTATTTATCTACTACGATTATACGTCAACACAAGACGACATCTGCGTGATCCATGCGGTGATGTTTAATCATGAAGGCTACAATATTATATCTGCATTTATTTCGCCAAGGTTTAGATGACGACGCCGCCACTTGTTACAACGTGTACTTGCTTAATGCTAACTGTACCAGGTTCAGCTCACGCTCACGCCGCTATGCAAAGACAACGTGGGACCTTCTCTGAGTCTCCTACTTTGTGACTAGATATGATTTGTTTCATTGTTTGACACAGCACTATGCAATGCATTCAGTGTTTGGATCAGAAGTTTGCATTGGAAAGTACTTTTTATTACGTGTACCTCATGGGAGAGGGTGAACCGTAGAGCAGTTGTACACTACCGTATGTGGTGCCGGCTGTACATATTAGTATACTTCCGACATCACCTGTAATGTTTAAGTTTCGGGATATTATTTTACTATTTATGGTACTTGTTTACAGCAATAGTTTAAAATTCATTCCCAAAGCTGTCCGCCAAGACCCAGCTGCTCAACTGAACCTATCAGTGAACTTTGAAAGAAAGAAAGAAAAAAATAGGTCTGACATTAAGTGATTTTACGCATTTTAGCGGCAGTAAAGACGTGGATCGTGGCAGGACAGACGGTTTACATGGCGTGGGAGTGTTGTGCTGCGAGAGAAAGTGAGAACATGGCGACATCAGGCAGGGGCAGCACCGGAAGAGCCTCATCCTCTGGCAAGGATCTGGGCGTTTCCACGGGCGTCTGCGTGTGGGAGGACTCGTCGGGGGTATGGCCTCCGTGGGTGCCGCCTCCCCATGCGCTAGAACGACCACGTCGACGGGGCAGACAGTCGTCAGCTGCGTCTTCTCCCTCCGGCAGTTGGCCCTCCAGGAGGGTTATGGCCTGGCAGCAGCGGCGATAACATCAACAACACTTTTAAAGACAACACGACCTATCTAACTGAAGACATGAGCACATATCTGGATGCGGAGTTGCAGCGGGATAACGCTGCGGGACAAATGAGGGTGTGGATGTCCTCTCGCCCACACGGTCCTTCCGCCTATTAGTCTTGTGACACAGATGTAAGAAAGTTCGGCTGCTTCCAAAAACAGTTCTACATATAGTGCGCACATTACAAAGCTAAGCCTTACATTGTCTACGCGGGGGTAAAGAAAAAAATCACACATCATAGCCAGTACGTTAGCATTACAGCAACACTAACTACCGCGGGCCAGCTCAACAGACTATCAACTTACCAGTAGAGATATTTCATACCACACTGCAATGGGAACATCTACTGGCAAGAACACTATATGCCTACGCATCAACAATTACAGGTGACAACAAGTATCGCAGAGCAGCCAATAGTTAACACCCACAACAATCACAGTCACAACATGAGCACAGGATTCTGCTGATCAGTGCATAGACATGAAGCACACTTCCACCTAAGATAGAAAACACAGCATGTAGATTGCACGCAAGATCTTTTTGCATCACTGAGCTGGAGTCGTGAGGTGTCTAAATTGCCAATTTTCTGCTTTAGACATTGTGGCAATTGATTATTTACTGTTTCCATCCACAACTACGGCATGTCGCATGTAAATTTTATCATAAACACAGACTTCACAGACGCAGTTACATACTTTCCTACAGGGGACATGCACTATATATACCTTCTTACCTACTATCTATGATAATAGCAGAGAGTTCCTACTAGTTCTAAGATAACATTATATCAGGGGAGAGCATGGCATAACCGCTCTTGTCTTTACATATTTTACCGATATACTGCTTCAAGAATGGATGTACAACAAACCCATTCTAATTTGTTAGTTTGCCTTGTTAGACACCGTAAACACGCGTATAACAAATTAGAGAACAGAATATCAGTCTTATAGGCAAAGTAAGTTGGATCATCATCCCCATTCGCGATTCCAAGGGACACAATGCACTGTGAGATCAACGGGTGTTTCTAAGTCGTTTGAGGGTTTATTTGTACTTTCACCATTGCACGGCCTAATGCATGTCATCTTTAATTCATGCACGTGAGCGATGGTCATAATGTCTGATATCTTTATGCAGCTAAAGTAACCTTGCTCATCAATCACTAGGAAAAAGACATAACCTATTCCTCACTATCATTAAACATGCTTAGACGAACTATAAAAAGGAGACATTTTAATTTCACAGATTATTTAATCTGATGTGGAACACATGTGCTTCCATGCCGTGCCAGGAGTTGAGAGGCAGTGAACAACATGCAGCTTTCTGTCGTATGGAATGTGCAGCTGAAGGGCAACACCTGTATATTTTAACCTGTTTATATATGACAATGTTACGCTGCTATGAAAAAAAAAAAATCACTGACTACAGATTTATGTGGTCTAGCATGTTCAAATAAAGATGGTGGCTCTTTTTCCCCTGCCCTCTCTCTCTCTGTCTATCTATTTCTATCTACATCTATCTGCTAGTCAATCTGTATATCAGTCTACCTATGTCTATCTATCAGTCTATTTATCTATTTATCTATCCATTTATACAAACACTCATATCTATCTATCTAAACACACACGCTTATATATTTATATGTCATATATCACTCAGATACTCTGAGTGGAGCAGGTGACAATCTCCAAGGCAAGGTGCATTGCATTCAAAGACACAAAGTGCAGGCATGCTGATGATGGCAGAAAGCGGAGGCAATGGCATGCAGCTTGCATATGGAAAACACAAGTAAGGATTGACGATCATTTAGAAATCATGTAATGACGTCACAAAATTCTGTCGAAAGTCAAAAACTCAGTTAACTATACTATGCAAAATATCACTTAAAATATACCAAAATATTTACATTAATCTTACAAAATGGCGACGAAGTGTGGGCATCACACCACGTTGCGGATCTGAAATGTCACTAAGAAAAGCTAGAGTGAGTTTTGGCCTCAGCGGCGTTTTATATTTACATGGGAACCACTTGGTTTAGCTCACAGACAAAGGAATCCATTCGTTTTATTAAGTCCGTATCTCTCACTCTGAGATCAGTTATCAGAAAATAGTAGATTTTGAAATAGATCCGCACGCGTTTCCAAATTCTTTTCTCCAATATTGCTTTTGCTTTCAGGAACTGATTCTTTGTGTTGGGGAACGTTGTGGATTTCTCATTTTACCCTAAGCTTGACCAAAGCCTTGTGTGAAGGTATCTAGACGTGGATGGGGCGGGGATCTGCTGTACATCCAAGGCAATTAATTGTAAGCGTCGCATTATTCCATTTGTGAGAATCAAACTGCTGTAACTGAGGCAAAATAATTTTAGGAAACTGGGGCCGACGGGTCTGGCGGCTGCTCCTTTGGGCGCTTAAGCGGGACCTTCCGTTTAAGTTTTCGCTTTCGAGAAACAATAGCGGGAACTGATTCTGGATTTCCTTCAAACCTGTATTGTACAAACCCAATATTATGCTCAAATAAAGTCAAGAAATCATTAAATAAATCGCCACATCTGAAAATAACAATACAAAATGTTAGCAGCACACACCTGTGTGATGACATTGACCTGGAGGATGGGGATGCAGAGCCGCAGGTTTTGCTTGCACCACGTGAACAGCGACAAGAAGTTCTTAGCGAAGAGGTCACTGATAATTGGTTGCTCGTAGTGGGGTCGCGTCCTTAACCACGCCTGCAGGAGGGGCTGCCAGTCTAGTCCAGACGAACTCATATACACCTGCACGAATGTGAAACAGTTGAAGGTCCTTTTCGTTCAATCAAAATATAGGAACATCTTAAGAAAGATTCTATGGACTAGCTGAGTTGTGTGACTTTTTCTCTCTGGTGGGGGAATAGTGATCTTCTGATATGACTTGTCAATGACATTCATAATACACAGATTCAGACGATGTACAGATCGGAAGTGGGAGTTTCTTAACCACACACCATCCCGTTCCTGGACACCGTCGCAGGAGAAGCGTTGTCAATGTTGGCCGGTTCGAAGATGACTTTGCAGCAGGGAGACATCGGGATTCGGTCTCCGTTGGCCAGCGTCAGCGTCCGGTTGTCGTCCAGCACAGAGTTGAGGTTCTCAATCCAGATGGCGTCGACGGGGCCGTCCAACACCAGCCAGATATGCTCGCCTGAAGTCATTGTAGTATATTAGAGTAATATATTAGCCAAAATATATGAACAGAATGGGTGATAAGATAAAGATTTAGAGTATTCAATCTATAATAACATATCAAATGCACTCATATGCTTCCATTTTAATTCACACTACAGCTAGAGGACTTCTAGTTGTTCACTTAACGAAGTTGGAATTAAATCCGGAATTCATATCATTCCTCCCTCCTATTTATTTCCAATAACACGAGATTTAATTCTCCTCAGCCGGAATATGAATGTTTGTGAATCTGAACGTCACCTTTCTTCGCCTTGAGCGTCTTCCTCCAGAGCGTTGAGAAGATGCCGTCCGTCCAGTCGTTGGTGGCCACGTCCAGCCGCCCGAACATCTGCGCGGACGTGATGGCCTTCGGGTTCATGCGCATCTCCCTGTGGAACCATGAGGCCATTGGCACACAGATGGCGCTGGCTAGACACTGGTAAAGCTAAGTGCAAGTAAATGCCTGGTGAGGACAATGGCAAGAATGGGGATCATCCAAAATTAGCTATTTGGTTTGGAAAAAAAGACAGTACTGTAGCATGGCAACGATGTTAAACTCAATATTCCTATCGTTCTTAAAAATATCTTATAATGATACAGGAAATTTTGTGTTGTTAACAAAATAGTACCACAAAGATTTCTACCACCCTTGTACATATCATCAGGCACCATCATCATAGTACGACTAAGCACTGCCGACCCCACCTGTGTGGCTGCCCCATCTTCGTGAGGGCCTTCATGAGGACCTGGATGCACGTCGTCTTTCCGGCTCCGCTGGGCCCGAGCGTCATCATGCCGTGCCTGACCCGCTGGGTCTCGTACAGCTACGAGGAAGTGTCAAGGATGACTTTTGCTGCTGTTTTACTCTGTCTCGTCCTTAATGCAATTTGTTGCCAGTCTCATATAAGCATTATAATTATCTTTATATAATGTTTAGGACATGAAAAAAACATATATTTCTCATGAAACGTACAGTAAACTACATTTACAGAATTAATAATTTGTGTATTTGCATGTAAGCTTACATCGTTGATCAATGCTTCTTCTTCATTTTGCCTTAAAAAGTTCAACATAATATGCAACCTGGACCCACCTGAATGAGCTTCAGCTGCCAGGGTGCATGCTGGATGAGGCCGAGTTCGACCACGATCTCAGCGATATTGTTGGTGAGATGGTTGTTGTAGCCTTTTTCTTGGGCCATATTGGGGAACAGATCGTCGATGAGGGACATGAAGAGCGGTTCGTCCTCGTCTGCCAAAAGAAAACAATGTTATTTAACTGGATTTTATAAGTAGCGGTCCTATATCACAAAGAGTGAATCAGTATTCGCATGCTGTTTCGTTGTCTTGATCTACATTAAATAACATTAGACAGAACTATACTCATATGAGCATCTGCTCAATATACTCGCACCATCACTATCATACTAAATACTATAAGAGCTATGTGGGTATAAACACAGCATAGCTTGCACTCACCAACGAGCTTCGAGAGATTCATGTCCCTGAGGACCCGCATAACGATGGTCGACTCCGAGTCCTTGGCATTGGCCCTCTTCGCGGCGCCCAGGGTTCGCAGCACAGACAGAATGTTGCGCAGGCCGAAGTCGTAGTGAACCTACACAGAGGAGACGGGGATAATAGTCGCAGCAGTAATAGCGAAAGAAGATGAGAAAGGGAGGAACAAGAGATGTAAATAATTGGATACATTCAAGAATTTCTGAATATCCTTGCTTTCAATAAAAATACATAGAGGAAAATAGAAGGAAACGTTTCGTCTTGAAATATATGGGCAGAATATTGAATGCTTGAAATAAAACAGGTTCGTATGGAAGTTTACCCCTCAGACATGGAAAAAATTACCTGTTTAGTAAGCTGCTCCTCGCAGAGCTTGTACAGCGTGAAGAACTTGCGCGCCAGAGTGATGTTCTCCAGGAAACCGCAAGACGCCAGCTTGACCCTGATGATAATTTGGCGATCTGGCACCATCATCGCCACGTTTCGGAACTGGATCTTCAGATTCTCGGGCAGTTCTTGGCGGCCGTGGTAGCCCAGATTCTAGAGGCGCGCGGTGTGGAAGCAGCAGCGTGACGCGGGCAAGATATGGAGGAGTGATGGGGAGGGTAAGTATATACACACAGATAAACAAGGAAGGTTAAGTGAGAGGCGCCAGCATGCAGCAGCCCCTACGCAGAGGGTCGCCGGTATGCATGCCTCACGGGACCCTCTGGAAAAATAACATCCTGTAATGAAAGAGTTCTCTATGCAGAAAAAAATCCATCGCGAAAAATCACTCGAACGACAGTGTGTATGTACAGTACAGGGGATGAAAATATACATGTTCAGGTAAAAAGCACCTTTTGGACCCTAAAAATTGCCAGTAAGCAGAACGACCAAGGGTCTGCTCATACCAGAAAGCAAGGACATGAAATTAGCCGGGAGTGAATGACGCATGCGTGACATGGAGTCGAAGTGAGGAAATAGATTTCTTTATAAATCATGACGGTATACTTCAGTGCAGGATGTTTTAGAATCTATAAAAAGCTGCGCTCTTTTTCAGTGCCGATCGAACCTCGACCGATTTATTTTTTTCTTATGTTACATCATCAATAAACTTTCCTTGACAACTTTTCGGTGACATGCAAATGTGATCATCAGGAACTGTTGTTCACACCGGGCTGGCGGAGGTCAAACAAGCGCATTATCTTTTTATATGAAAATTTCAGACCCGGAACTTCAGATCCAGTTTTGGCAATGTCGGTGAAAATATGATACTAGAGTACTGTGTGATTCAGTATAGTTGCAGAAGTGGTGTGTAGTTGTGGAGTGACGCATCTCTGGACTATCGTGATGTAGTGTTTTAGTGTTTTATTTCTGGTGTGCTGAGGTAGTTCATTCAGTTGTGGAAGCGCAGTTCGGAAAAAGTGTTGTGATTTGATGCTCTAAGCTGTACACCCATATCCGCACCCACACACAGGCACACCCAATACAAACGCATTCTAGAATCAGTGTACAGGCTGCTCAAATTAATGATAAGTGTTTTCGGCCAAGCAACGGTTTCTGTGAAAGAGATAGAGGTAAGACCATAGGAAATTAGTGGCATTGCAACATGTTAAGTGAAGCCAGGCACTTTACCTGTTTATTGCCGTCTTTGGCCACCTGCCAGGTGAGAGAGAGAAATTTAAGAGGGCACGATGACAGGGACGTCACGTGCAGTGACTGTCTTCACAGACTTTATCAGCATCGTATGTTCTCGCAAAGAAAGTCAAATATCCTACAAGTTGCAACTGCCTTAAGTTATATTTTTCTTGTACGAGCCTTTTAGCCTGACCTCGCGACATTTTAGTTCAGGATTCTCTTGACAAACAAGCAAAATAGTCGCTAAAACTGTTTATAAACTATCGCTTTTGAGGTTGTCCATATAGTAAAAGAAGTTATTTCATATACTTTTCGGCTGTTCCTGTTTTCAGAGGAAGAACCATGTAAATTGAACGAGTAACAAATTCAAATGATACAGAGTTATAAGATTACACTTGCAAAGGAACATTTTAAGTTCTTGTAAAGACCAGAGTATTAACACATTTACTTGAAACCTCTTTGATGATAAATAAAGTAGGCTTACATTAACATATTTACTTGAAACATCTTTGATGATAAATAAAGTAGGCTTACATTGCATGGCACTAGTGGCAAGCAAAGATCGGTGTTACTTCGACTAAAGGCAGAATTCACAAAAATAAATACAGGGCTACTGGGGATAGAGCGGAACAAACAGCTTCAGTTAGAACGAAAAAAGTTAGAGTGAGCAGTATTGGAGGGATTAGTTTTAGAGCGATCAGCACAAGTCTGGGTGAACAGTGTTGGACCGGAGTGGACAGTGTAAGTAAGAACGCATTGCATGGTAAAGTGGACAGTGTATATAAGAGTTTGGATGAAAATGAGAATGGGTGCGCAACTACGGATGAAAGACCGTATGATTATGTATATAATATGGATGATTTTACTAAGAGAGAAAGTGTTGTAAGTGAAAGGAATAGGACAGATTGTAAAAGAAGTCTGCGGAAAGCTAATGGAAAGGGAGGGGAGTAACAAAAAGGGAGGAACAGGAAGAAATGCAGAGAGGGAGAATCACAAAAAAAGAAGATTGATGAGGGCAGACGAAACGAAAAGGATATTAGAAAGAAAGAAAAATACTGAGGGATAAGCAGGGAGGAAGAAGAGAGAGGAGGACGGGATTGGATCAAACGAGACCTCACCACCTTGGACAATGATGGCATGACTGAAGTAGTTACCTGGTATTTGCTCCTTGTGTTTATGTTCTGCCAGACACATTGAAGGATACAGAATTACTATCAATACATAACTGGCGAATGACCTGGAAAAGAACTTGCCGATTGTGAGACAGCAATTTAATGAAGTTTCGTCTTGTATAGGACTTGGCTATCATTGTTAGAAACTGGTAATTTGCAGCATCAAATATGTGCATAGTTTAGATTAACAGTACCTGTAGTGTGTATATGAAGGTTAAAGAGCTCAGTGACACTGCAATTCTCAACAACTAAGGCACAATAAGCATCAAAGGCATTAAACTCAAAATTGTCGAATCATTTATTCCGAGGCAAGCATTCCAAGGCGAAGTTCTGTACAATCAGCAAAAGGTCATGATGTTTTTCAGATTTATTTACTTTCTCGTTTGTTTATTTGTCTATTTATCCATGACTAATTAAAAAAACCAAAGATTCAATAAAAAGCTGAATTAATAGCCAAACGAACGTCAATATTTTATTTTTACTATTCATCAGCTACTTGCTTTATCAATATCGACGAAAGCCAAATAATACTTCCATTACAACTTTATTTTAACTGGCATTTTGAAGTGATAATTTATAAATCGGATAAGCGATAGGAGCTACAAAAATTGAGTCGCACCGTGGAAAATTGATTTAAAGATTCAAGTGCTAAAAATCCATCCAGTGGGAGTCTTGTGAACTACTTTTGCTCACTTTCTTAACCAAACTGCTTTTGTCTCGGGTTCCAGATTCCATGACAGTAGGCCCACAGGATCACAGTCAGCGCATCTGCCCCACGGTTTGAGGCATCGCGGTCATTGCAGTGCCTCAAACGCTGACTCCCTGAGGCCAGTCAGTCGTTAACGTCGGTTCAGATGGCATCCTGGCCCCTGAGATCACTGCCAGAGTGACTTACTGCTCCTTCGCTTAGCGTTGTCTGCCTTTTGCTGATCGTACAAATATTTAGATTTGAGTGCATCGGGCTTGCGAGATGCTTTAGATCACCAAGTTATGTCAACTCTATTTAACGTTGGAGCATACTTGTAACCTAATTAGAAAGTAACCATTTAGTAATATTTAAGTAGTTGTGGGTATCTACAATGGATATCTTTTTTTTAAAGCGAAAATGAGAATGTTTAATATGAACATAACTGAAATAGTCGCAGGATTTTAGAACCTGCCATTCTTACTGATTTTGATAAAGAGTGAAATATCGCTATATCGTATTCATCTGATTTTTTTTTTTAGTTTGGGAAAACTTTTTTTTTTTTTTTTTTGGGGGGGGGCGGAGAGATGGCGAGAATGTGTGAATACTGAGGGACAAGTGAAGAATTATTACTGATATATGAAAAACAGTTTGTTTCTCAAAGTTTATAAAGATTCTAATGAAACATCAGAACTGGCCACGTAAGTATGACTCGGCAAATATTTTT